TTGAGGCTCTGTCTCAAAAAAAAAAAAAAAAAAGAATGGTGCTTCCTTCTTTTGAGGAATACTGTGGAGATACCAAAGCTTCCCTGTGCTCTCTGTCACTTGTACACTATACCTGGTGGTCACTGTATCATCTGTGGTCATGTAGAACACACTTGGGAGTGGAGAGAACCAAGGTGGGAACTCAGGCTTCCTGTCTCCCAACTCTAAGTGCCTCAAACATCCACATCCCCATTCCAACCCAGAGCCCAGCCAGAGTTCCTGCTGTGATTGTAAGACTGTGGCCTATGAAGGCAAATCCAAAGCCCTGGCTTTCTTAGCCACCAGAGTCTTACTACTTGCCAGGAGTCAGGTAAATGGACAGAGGGAAGAATGGATGAAGGATAGGCAGAGTGATGTATGAATGGATGGATGGTTTAATGGATAGATGGGTGGGTGAGTGGATGGATGGATGGATGGACAGGAGGAGAAATGTATGAATGGACAGAAGGGTGGATAGACTAATGGATGGGTAGGTGTATGAATAGATGGACAGGCAGAGAGGTGTATGAGTGGATGGATGGGTGGATGGACAGATGGATAGATGGGTAGATGGGTATACAGACAAGTAGGTGGGTGGGTGGATAGAAAGAAGAAAGGAAAGATGAATGCATGAATGGTCCAACTAGAAGACAATAGACAAAAACCTAGAAAATGACAAATATAGGTAAGGAAGGACCAAGAGAAATAGAGTGGTAGAAATGGAGAAAATGGGAGGAGGTGAGAGAGATGTGTGGGAGGAGGAAGATGAGAGGAAAAAGGAAAAAAAAGCAAGACACAAATGATAGTGCAACAGGAAGATGAAGTAGCAGAAATATAGGTGCAGACAAAGAAAGAAACATGTGTCTAAAACTGGGGAAATGATTCCAAGAGAGAGACCAAGGAACAAACAAAATAAATAGACAGACAGCAGTAGGAGGTGGGAAAGGAAATAAAAATGGGAGTAGAAAGGGAGACAGAGGGGAAACAGGAACAGAGAAAAGTCCCTCACAACATCCCCAGGAAGCAGGGGCCATTATCTGTTGTCCCCTTTCACAGATGAGGAAACAGAACGGGGAGGTTTGTACAACTATCCATGGCAGAGTTGGGATTCAAAAGGGTACAGGGCAAATATAAGACAAATATAATCTTTAGGGGTCAGGTGAAGTAACTTCTCTTCTACCCTCTTGGGTCTCTGGCTGGGACTGACATAAAACAGATTAACAGGAGAAAAGCATACAAATCTTATTTAGTAATTTTTACAAGTACATGAGATCCTGGTGGGGTGGGGGGGCGGGGAAGGAAATGAGACCTAAAGAAAGTTACAGGCCAGCGCAGTGGCTCACACCTGTAATCCTAGTACTCTGGGAAGGTGCTAGGGCAGATCCCTTAAGCTCAGGAGTTTAAGCCCAGCAAGATGGAAGCTCCCACCCCTACCCCCAGTCTTTACTAAAAATAGAAAAATTAGCTGGGCATCGTGGCAGCTGCCTGTGGTTCCAGCTACTCAGGAGGCCCAAGCAGGAGGATCACTTGAGCACAGGAGTTAGAGGTTGCTGTAAGCTACGACATCACTGTGCTCCAGCCTCGGTGAGATCCTGCCTCAGGATGAACGAAAAAAAATAAGGAAAGAAACAAGGTTAACACTTAGATAGTAGGTCAAGAATAGTAAATTGTGAAAACAAGACAAGACCAAGGGGCTTAGGTTCAGGCAGTCAATTGAAGGGATGAGGCTGGGAAGATGAGGGATAGTTAGTTTAGCAAGGTTCGTTTGTGCTGAGATCTCTCAGTTTCAACTTCCTATCTCTGGTGATAAGACTGTCCTTATCCTCTCATACAGAGAGGGCAACTTCTATGTGGAAGCTTTCTGTCTGATTTTCAGAAACAAAAAAGAAATTCAGAGTGCCCTTCTTGCATCTGCTATTTTTCAAATACCTTTAAGTCACAATGACCAATGTACCAAACTGGCATATTAGGGCATGGCCTCCTTTGATCCCCAGCATAGGCAAAGGCAAGATGGAAGAAGACTTAACTTCCTGTGCTCTTATCTTGAGTCAGCTGAATGCACAAACGGGTGAAGGGAAGGGCTTTGAAATACAGGTTGCCAGTCCCTGCCCTATCACTGCTCACTGAAGAAACGTGAGTGTGGACTACACAGACACACCATGGCACTGAGGGGCAGGCTACGGACTGAGTGTTGCCTGTGCCAGCACACAATAGCACGGAGGAAGATGCCGGGGCCTGAGTGTGGCCTGAGCAGACACACCACGGCACTGAGGGGCAGGCTGACACCTGACTGTGGCTTGGGCAGACACACCATGGCACTGAGGGGCACTCTGAGGCCTGAGTGTGGCCTGGGCAGACACACCATGGCACTGA